CCCTTTCATGCACAAGGCCCTGGGTTCAATCCCCAGCACCACAAAACTAAAATAAAATAATTAAGGCAAACTAATCAATCTAAGAAAGTTAAAAAAAAAAATGGCCTTAATCATATGAAAAAATTATATAGTTTTACTTATAAGAGAAATAAAAATGAGAACTACACTCAGATATAATTTCTTTCTATGTATCAGATTAGCAGAGATTCCAAAGCTTAATAATAGTTTCTTAGGAGAATGGGAAAATAGGAATTCATATGTAGTTGGTGGGAATGCAAGAGTACAACTCCTATTGAGCAGAATACACAGTATCTAAACAAAATTATGCATCTTTTTATTTTTTGAGCCAGAAATCTCATTTCCAGGAATTTACCCTGAATATACATCTCCAAGAATACACACATATGCCCAAGGTTATATATTAGATTATTTTTAAGTATAAAAAACTATGAAGATGTCCAAGCACTAGTTTATTTTAATAAATCAGTGCTATCTCCACACAATGAAGCACTCTGCCACTATAAAAAATTAAGGGTTGGGGGTATAGCTCAGCGTAAGAGTATTTGCCTAGCATGTACAAGATCCTAGGTTAGATCCCCAGCATCTTACACAAAGAGAATGAGAACAATTTCTGTAAACTAATATTTCCTGAAAGTACTATTAAGTAGAAAAAAAAGTACAAAAAAAAATACTTAGTATGCTATCTTTCTAATAAGAAATTACAGAAAGCCAGGCATGGTGGTACAAACCTGTAATCCCAGTTACTTGGGAAGCTGAGGCAGCAGGATTACAAATTGGAGGTGAGACCCTGTCTCATAATTTTTAAAAACTTTTTTTTTAAAAACAGTATTAGAGATTAAACCCAGGAGTGCTCTACCACTAAAGTACATCCCCAGGCCTTTAAAAAAATTTTTTTGAGACAGGATCTTGATATGTTGTCAAAGCTGGTGTCAAATTTGCAATCCTCCTGCCTTAACCTCCCCACGTTATTGGGATTATAGTGCCACTGCACCTGGACTCAAAATAAATTTTTTAAAAAAAAGGGCTAAGGAGCTGGGGTTGTGATTCAGCAGTAGAGTGCTCACCTGGCACATGTGCGAGACCCTGGGTTCAATCCTCAGCACCACATAAAAATAAATAAGTGAAATAAAGGTATTGTGTCCAACTACTACTAAAAAATATGTATTTAAAAAAAGGGAGGGGGGCTGAGAATGAAGCTCAATGTAGAGTGCTTGCCTAACATGTGCAAGGCCCTGGGTTCAATCCCCAGTACTGAAGGTAAAAAAATTTTTAATTATAAGGAAGTAAAACACGAATCTCTTTTTTTAAAAAATATTTTTCTTGTTATACATGGACACACAATATCTTTATTTATTTGTGTGGTGCTGAGGATGAAACCCAGCACCCCACATACACGAAGCAAGTGCCCTACCATTGAGCCCCAGCCCCAGCCCAACACATATCCTTTTATCTCTGCAAAAAGAAATAAAGGGCAGATAAACCAGAAAACAAGCAAGCTGGATAATTACAAGAGGTTAAAGGGGGACTGGAATGTAGTGGAAGAGATATAAAAGGGAGTGGCATTTCTTCAAATATGTTTTTTTGCAACCATCATACTAAAGACTTGATCAAGCAAAAATCAGAAGATACAAAATCATGGGAGAAATTCTAAATAAAAGCTGCATTTAATTTTTTTTTTTAGTTGTAGATGGACACAATATCTTTATTTATTTTTACGTGGTGCTGAGGATCAAACCTAGTACCTCACACATGCGAGGCAAACGCTCTACCACTGAGGCACAATCCCAGCCCTGCATTTTTTTTTAACCTCAAACTATCTCCCTTTGCACTGCTTATTATAACAAGAGAAAAAACAGAAATCATACAAAAGATATGTGGGTATTCTGTGTATTCTCATACAACTTTACTGCAACTTTCCGTAAGTTGAAATTATTTCCAAATAACACGTTTTAACAATTATATTTTCAAAGATGGCGAGGAGTAGTTTCAGCTTATGCTTCTAGCACTGGAACAATTTAGATTCTTTCTCCAAATGTAAAATGAAAGGGTTGAACAAGATACTTCTGAATATATAGGAAGTGTGGTAAAAGAGTAAATTAGAGCTCCTTTAAGAAACTGCTGAAGAGGTTTGGGGTTGTAGCTTATAGTAGTAGAGTAATTGCCTGCCACATGTGAGGAACTGGGTTTGATCCTCAACACCACACAAAAATAAATAAATAAAATAAAGGTGTTGTGTCCATCTAAATCTAAAAAAGTTGCTAAAGAAGCCAAACCCCAAAAGTACCTGATCTTTTCACTGGAACACTACTAAATATCTGATAATGGGATTGCTATTTCTGGCAAATTTGATCTCTTCACAATATAGCAACATAAGTCTCCATAATTGTGGCTTCTTCAATTTATTTCACACCATAATTCTCTACATCATTATCATACTGTAGTTTACTCTTAGAACACAAGTTCCACTTACAAGGAGGGAAAAGGGAATATTTTCTTTATCCAAAATTAACACTATATAGGTGCCTGATACAAGTTATTAGTTCTAAAGAGAAATCCCACTGCTTTTTTGTTAAACAAAAATATTTTATTTTTAAATTTTTTTATTTTTAATTGACACATAATTACATATATTTATGGGATACAGTATGACATTTTGATACATGTATACAATGTGTAATGATCAGATCAGGACAACCGGCATATCCATCACTTTGGACATTTATCAATGCTTTGGGAATATTCAAAATAGTCACCGCTAGCTATTTTCAATTATACACTTAATTGTTGTTAATCATAGTTATCCTATCATGCACCAGAACTTTAGAAGTTATTCCTCTTATCCAACCCCACTGCTTTTAATTACAGGTTAAACATACTAAGCCTGATCCATTTAGCTTCATTTTCTTCTAGGATCTAGGGTGATATATTTTATCAAGTTTTCAGTGGGTAATCAATACCTACTGGTTGATTTTGATTCGATACTCTAGGCTCAGATCTACAGGGCACTACTGCTTAACTTCAAAGGGGTTATTTTTCTTCCTTGATAAATTTCCATTTCATTTTGCTATTAATATTCACCTGAGACTCATTTCTACTATACTTACTGCTAAAGGAACCCAAACGGTCCATTCCCTAATTGGCAAAGATTGCTGCTTTTTATCTTCCCTTGTGCAGAGCTTCCTCAAGATCTCAGAACTGGCCAGCACATACGCCAAAGCTTGATGTCCCCCTAGGAACAAACAAAAGTGGCACATGGATCAGAAAATCATTCAGAGATAGAGAAATACACAACATATTCAGTTCTACCATTGTAATACTGAGCAAATTAGTTTATCTCTATTATGTCTAACTGGTATAATAATATCTATCTCCCAGGGTTGTTCTGAGAATGTCATAATCAAACATCTGGCCTAGAGCAAGTCCTCTATAAATTATATGGATATAAAGGGTTTTTTTTTTGTTGTTGTTGTTGTTTTATTTTTGGTGCTGGGGATCAAACTTAAAAATCTCATGCATGCTGTGCTATGCAGTCATTCTATCACTGAGCTATATCGTCCCTCCCTAAATGCTATATATTTCTAATAGTAACTGTTGCCTTTCTCTACCCAGCTTTCTCTACCCTTGTCTCTTAAGGCCTCTGTCTTTTGGGGAACTGACCCTTTAATATTTTATATGGTACTGGGAGAGGTACCAATCAATATTCAAAATCTCCACCTCCACAGAAGCTACACCAAAGATTTCTTTTTTTTTTCCAGAAATCTAGATCTTAAGTTAAGACATTGCTCCAGGATAGAAGGTAGACAGAGTTTATTCTCTAGTCAAAGAATTTAGTCAATAAGTTCTGGCTATTGGATCCATATCCCCCATGGTGACCGGCTCTAATTTCTCTGTCTTTCCAATAAAAACTTTAATCAGAATGATTTTCTATTACTAAAACCCAAAAATCCTATCTATAAAACACATAGTTAACTAATTTACTCTTTCAACAAAATACAAAATACCTTCTTTGAAGGTAGAAATGAAATCTTATTTCACATCAAACCAAGAAACATCCTCTTTCTATACACCAGAGTTTTCCATCCTTTTTCTAGAATTTTCCCCACATATTTTATGAAGATTACTTCTAACTGCACACCTTTTCTCACTTTAAGACTAAACAAAAACAGGAACTACATTCGATACAAATTTATATGCCTTTAAAGTACCAAATACATAGAATTCATTAAGTTCACTAAATAATCACAAAAGTTAGTTCTACTTGGGCTACTGAATAAATTCCAGATTTTTTTT